GAATGTCGGAATGTTTCCTCTTATTATTGTCAAATTCTCTAACTCTTATGAGTTATTTTTGAGACGAGATTCAAATCCCGTCACTTCGGATCGCTCTCGCAACTGAGATGACGACAGAAGAACAGCATCAAAAACGTCTCGAAGAACTCGAGAGGTTGGATGAAAAGCGCTTGGGAGCTCAACGACAAATTGAGTTTTATCAAGCCCGAATATCCAGGGCTTTTAACAAAAGAGTCCGACAGAGAAGCTTCAAGGAAGGAGATCTGGTCCTCGCTGCTCGCCGACCGATAATCCTCAATTCCAAGAAGAAAGGTAAATTCGAACCCAAATGGGAAGGCCCGTTTGTGATAGACATAGTCTACTCAAACGGCGCATATCGCCTAATTACTCCAGAGGGCGCCAGGCAATTAATGCCAATAAATGGGAAGTTCCTGAAAAAGTACTATCCCTAGTACATTCAGGATAACTCATTTACTGGGAAGTTCCTCGAAGAATATTACACTTAATATTCTAGAGGATAACCCAAAATCATTGTTCACCACCAAAATCCCTCACTGATCAATTTCAATTGACAGTGAGTCCACCAAAAATGTTTTTCTGGCCCTCTTGATTCTTTCCATGAACAAGAGGTCCACTTTCAGTTCAGAGTCCCCTTTCGATAAACGAAAGAACTCCCTTCTCTTTCTCTTTGGTCAAGCCTTCCCATGGTTATAGCCAAAGTTGAAATTCCACTTCGATAAACGAAGAACCCATTTTCAGTTTAGATAACTCATCCTATAAAAGGCAAGTTTATCTAAATTTTCCAGATTCTCGGAGTGGACACCCCACTTCTAGTTTCTTCTTCGCTGGAAATAGAATATAAAATTCTTCCTTTCCAGAATCAGGGAATAGAATATAAAATTCTTCCTTCCTTGTTTTCGGGTTCGCCTTCACCCTAAAAGAAGACCGGGAAATAGAATATAAAATTCTTCCTTTCCCGCACCAACCTTTTCTAAGAATCTATCAATCTAGGATTCATCCTAGGAAGTTTATCCCGAATCCTAAGCAGGGATAAGTCTGCGCCTAACACGCGCTGCCGGTTTAGTCTTTTTCCATAGAAAAAGACACCAGAGTTCGATTATGGGGTATTCTATCCTGAAACCTAAGCAAGGATAAGTTTGCGCTTAACCCGCGCTGCCGGTTAGTTCTTAACCGTTAAAAAGAACACCCGTTCACATATTCAACATTGCGACAGGTTGTTATTAATAACGCCAGAATCCATGCCTTACACGCATGGGGAATTTTATCCTGAACCCTAAGAAAGGATATGCCGATGCCTAACACACGTCGCCGGTTTAGTCTTTCTCCGTAGAAAAAGACACCAGAATACCAGTCTGGGGTATTTTATCCTGAAGCCTAAGTAGGGATAAGTCAGCGTCTGATACACGTTACTGGGTAGTCTATCCCCATAACTATGGCGAAGTCTACGTATTCGAAGTCGTAGCAGCAAAGTCTGAGAGAATTCACTCTCTCAGCACAACGTTACATGCGAAACGGATCTAGACAATTCGCATGCTAGCCCGACTCAAACGGTAGTCGGTAAAGGCTTGTCAAACCCGTTGAAGGCTGGGGGTTAGCCAAAAATCCTAAAGTCAACACCTAACATGTGTCGCCGGGTAACCTATTCCCGTAACAAATGGTAAATTCTATGTATTCAACATCATAGCATGAAAGTCTCAGAGAATTCACTCTCCTAGCACAACGTGACATGCGGAACGGATTTAGACAATCCGCATGCTAGCCCGACTCAAACGGTAGTCGGTAAAGGCTAATCAAATCCGTTGAGGGCTGAGGGTTTGCCAAAAATCCTAAAAGTATTATGGTCAATCATTTCAAACGGAATGAGGAATCATAATAAAGATAAAGATAAAAACCAGTTCCACTAAAAAGATCAAAAGTCAAAACATTCAGCAAATAAAATCAAACCAAGTGCAGATACAAGGAGACATCTCAAATCAGATCTAACAAACTGAAGGAAGCAATCTTAGCCTTAACAACGGCAAGTTTCTCGGCGTGTTCCACTCGAACCCTCTCCTCTTCTTCCTTCTGAAGCTTGGTATAAGCAAGAATGGCGGCAGCATCGGCGGTTACGTCTTCTCGGCGCAACGCGTGAAGAACCTCCAGCTCTCCTCTATAAACATTTTGAACCCTGGCGCTCTCGAGCTCAAAATCTTTTAGAGTCCTCTCCCCTTGGACGGTCCTGACCCCCGTCCTATCAGCAATGTCGTTATAAGCATCCATCTTACTCTGCAGACGACGTTGCCGTTCGTACAAGTTCGCAACGATGACTTCTTGCTCCGATATGCGTCTCGCTCGGGCCTTACGCTCTCGCACCCTCTGAGTCTGAGCATCGATCATAAGCGGCGTGGCCTCATCATGCGGGTCGAAGTCTACTAGCTCTTCCAAAAGATATATAAGTTCCTCTAAGCAAGTCAACCTTATCTCACATTGTCCAGCTAGCCGGATGCCACCTACACGCTGAATGTCTTTAAGACTATCTGCTATGAAAGGGAGCAAATCATAATATCTTCCCCGTCCAGAACTAATGGCGGTGAGCGTTTGTTGTATAACCTTCTCTACTTTTTTGAGGATGTCCTGCAAGAATTCGGAGACCAGGAAGACAGATTCTTAGTCAGACATAATTGCAGCAATGGGATCCTCTTCCCCTTCATCGTCGGATATTAGGATGATTTCGGGACTCAACCGAGGAAGTGGACCGATAGCCTGCCTGGTGGAAACCGAAGATAAAACATCCCCACGACGTCCGTTCACCGCATGAGATGAAAATGCTCCGGAAGGATGCTCAACTAAAAACAAGCAATGAAACGTTTGTTAATTCCAATTATAAAAGGAAGTTGAACTCATCCTACGAATAGGTAAGATAGAGTCACTGCCTTATAAAGGGTGAGACGATTTGGCCACATCATGCACTTATAAGATAGGGTATATCGATAATATATCCCTGCCTTATAAGGCACAATGCAGCGTCAAAACGCCCCCTTTATATTGAGATATGGTTTTGACCAAGCAAAACATATCTTTAAAGCGTCGATCCTCGCCAAGGAGAATCAAGGCTCTTCCCGATTGCCTCACCAAGGAGAACAACGTGGGGTAAAAAGGACTAATTTGCAAATTTCCAAGAAAAAAATGGACTAATTTGTAAATTTCCAAAAAAATAGCTCACCAGCTCGTGGATCCAATAAAAATCAGATCTTGAAAGAGGCTCAGACCACGCGCTCGAGGGGCCTGAGAGAAATTCTAAATATGGAAGTTTTGAGGGATTTCTCAGTCAAAGATCCAAAGGAAGACTAGATCTAATGCAACTATGAAGTTTTGAGGGAGAACAGATGCTCGAGGGAAGAGAAATCAAAAAAGAAGGGAGAGAGGGGGGCCGGCCCTAATGAGGAGAAAAACCCTCTTTTATAATGTTGAACCAAGCTTAATTGAACCGGACCAAACCAAGTTGAACCAGACCAGACCCGTTTTGAACCAGAATTCAAGTTGAAGCTGGATCGAGCATCGAAACAACTTCAAATCGACCGAGGGTTCAGTCCTTGGTTTATTCTTGCCTCTCCCACATATTCGGAAGGATCAGAAAATTTTTGAGCCTAATTACTGCCTTTTTTGGCTCATTATCAAGCCGGTTCAGCTCATTCGGGCACAGAAAATACTCCAATAAGGTATATGAGTATAAACTGTTCCCTATTGTTTGTTGAGAAGTTCCTGGAGGATATTTTTCTGAAAATATTCTTCACCCTTGCTAGTGCCTTCTGTAGGCATGTAAAATTACTTATAAGTCCCTTGGCATAGCTCGGCGCGGTGATTCGACAAACCATCGAGTGACGAGCCAACGAGGTCAACGAATCGCACGCGAGCAATGGAATGCATCCATTCGCGTGCGGAATCAAGCCAATGGTTCGGGGAGTCAACGAGTCATCCAAACAAGAGCGGACTCGAATGAATCATGACCGAATCAAGATTGGTTTCGGACTCGAACTCAGAAGTAGATTTACTGCCAAATCATGAATCGGATTTACTGCCAAATCAGATCAACAAATCAGAGTCTAAGTCAACCGAAAAAAATGGAAACAATGAAAAAAACGACAAAACAGAAACGCCTAAGGGAGGCTCAGCCAAAGCCGAGCCACCCATAGGTAGCTCGGTGGCCGAGCCACCTAAGGGGGGCTCGGCCTTGACCGAGCCACCCAAGAGCCGAGACCTATGGGTGGCTCGGCCCAGTGCCGGCCACCCATAGGTGGCCGACCCAGATCTGTGCGCGGGCACAGTTCAGAGAGCCTATAAATAGGCCCCCCTTTATTCATTTGAAAAGGTTGGAACTTTGAGAGCCGAAACTCTGCCGAATTAAAGATTGAGCTCAGAGTTTTGAAGACTTGGAGACTTGAAGATTCAGATCTGATTCTCGGCGAGCATCCACGTCACAAAAGGCAGGAGTTCGAGAGAGGTAAAGATCAGTTCTGAGATCTACACGAGATCACACTCCGGATCAAAGCTTGGCCCTTGATCCAGAGAATTAGACGATTATTTCCTTGGTGAACTAATCCTCCCCGGCTATTATTCCCTTCGCGGAATAATACCCGTCAAATCGTGTAGATCCGACCGGATCTAGATCGCGCGGTGGTCCACGGATTAACCCCGGCGTCGGCAAAGAACCCACACAAGCGAGCGACCGCAAAACAGGAGCTCGCAATTTGTTCTAAAGGAGAAAGTTGTAATCTTTTTATTTTCTTTGATTTCGTTGTAACCGGATCTAAAAAAGACCGGATCTTTTGTAATAAAAAAAAATCAATCACTTGAGATAACGATGAATTCAATGAAGGCAATTTTCACCGCGAACACCTTCGTGAGAATATCCGCTCGCTGCTCGCTTGTGCTCACGAACTCCACTTTAATCTGTCCTCGCTCAACCTTCGTGAGAATATCCGCTCGCTGCTCGCTTGTGCTCACGAACTCCACTTTAATCTGTCCTCGCTCAACACACTCACGAATGAAGTGAAAACGTGTGTCGATATGCTTTCTTCTTCCATGGAAAACTAGATTCTTCATCAAGGAAATCACAGACTTGTTGTCGACGAAGAGTGTAACCGGCTTGGGCTCACTCCCAATCACCTCGTTGATTAAACTCCTCAACCACAAGCCTTGGCATGCTGCTGCAGTTGCCACCATAAATTCTACCTCCCAGTATGATAATGCCACCGTCTTCTGCTTCTGTGATGTCCAAGTGACCAAGCTGTCACCTAGATAAAATGCCATGCCGCCTGTGCTGCGCCTATCATCAATATCTCTCGCAAGATCACTGTCAGTGAATCCCACCAACTCTTCATTGCCTCGACCTCGTTTGTACACCAATCCATAGGACATAGTACCCTTCACGTACCTCAAAATATGCTTGACAACCTGTCTATGCAAAACTGTAGGGTGCTCCATGTACCTACTCACAATCCCCACGGCATATGTGATATCGGGTCGGGTGTGAGTTAGATACCTTAAACATCCGATGATGCGTCTATACTCTATCACGTCCACTGGTGTTCCTTCAGAATCCTTTCCAAGCTTTAGCTTTGCTTCCATGGGATATTGGGTCGGGTTGCAATCCATCATGCCGAACTGACCCAAAACTTTCTTCGCATAGGCCGCCTGCCTTAGTGCAATGCAATCATCTCGCTGATTCACCTCGATACCAAGATAATAGGAAAGTAATCCAAGGTCACTCATCTCAAACTCCTTCATCATCTATTGCTTGAAAAACTTTATCTCATCCGCTCTCGAGCCCGTAACGATCAAGTCATCCACGTACACGCCAACAATGAGTGTATCCCCTCTGTTACTTCTAGTGTATACCGCCTGCTCCTGAGTACATCTTGCAAATCCGATGCCCTTCATGCACTTGTCGAGGCGCGTGTTCCATGCCCGAGGTGCTTGGCGTAGACCATAGAGTGCCTTTGAAAGCTTGTAGATCTTGTGCTCCTGATTCTTCACAACGAACCCTTCAAGTTGAAGTACATACACTTCTTCTTGGAGATCACTATTTAGGAATGCTGACTTCACATCCAGATGGTGCACCTCCCACCCATTCTGTGCTGATATGGCGAGGATTATTCTGATGGTATCGAGTCTCGCCACAGGTGCAAACACCTCATCGAAGTCCACGCCTTGCTGCTGGACGTACCCTTTTGCTACAAGTCTTGCCTTGTGCTTGAGATTGTTGCCTTCATTGTCCTTCTTGAGCTTGTACACCCATTTGAGACCAATGGGTTTAGAACCCCGTGGTAACTCCGTGAGTACCCAAGTCTTATTCTTCTCGATGGCCTCCATTTCCTTCTCCATGGCAGTCCGCCATTCTTGATCTGTTGCAGCCTTAATGTAGCTCGCAGGTTCTTCAGAAATCAGGAACAATTCCTCTATGGGAAGATCAATCGCCTCTGTCTCTGCGTAGATATCTTCTAGGGACCGGTAGCGCACAAGTTCTGGAGTTAGCACTTCAATTTCAGGAGGTCCGAACAGCTCCAATGCAGCGGGATCTGCTGCCACAGCAGCTGTTCCTGGACCTGCAGCTGTCTCTGCCCAGATTGGCCTCTCGTCGGCTCCAATACGGCGGGGAACGCTGCTTTAGTAATTGTTCTTGGACCTGCAACCAGCTGAGGGCTGGTTCGGACAGCAGCAGTCCGTCCAAACTGGACTGCAGTCTGTCCAGTTTGGACTGCAGGCTGTCCAGTTTGGACGGGTGGAAATGCGCCGGCAGTTGTACCGGCTGCTGCAGTTTCACCTTCCACTGTTAACTCCATCCAGCTGGGTGCTCTCTCGTCTCCGTTTGTGCTCCAATCCCATTCTTTTCCTTCCTCGAACGCGACGTCTCTGCTGACATGAATTCTGTCGTGTTGAGGGTTGTAAAGGCGATGCGCTTTGCTTCCTTCTTCTACCCCAATATATACCATCGACGTGCTCCGGTCGTCGAGTTTCTTGTGAGAAGGACCTGCAATTTTCACATGCGCCACATATCCGAAAACTCTCAAGTGTTCTAGGTGGGGTTTCTTACCAAACCAAGATTCGTAAGGTGTGTGGTCATACAACGCCTTTGTTGGTAGTCGATTGAGGATGTACACCGCATGCCTGACCGCTTCACCCCACATTGTTCCAGGCATATGCATGCTTTTAAGTAAGCTTCTCGCCATGTCCATCACCGTGCGGTTACGCCTCTCCACTACACCGTTTTGCTGCGGGGTGTACGGAGCAGTGAGATGATGCTTGATGCCGTAGTCTTCACATAACTTGGTGAACTCTTTTGACAAAAACTCGCCACCACGATCCGTCCTCAATGTCTTCACCTTGTGGTCACATGCGTTCTCAACCTCTGTTTTGAACTTCTTGAAGGTTTCACAAGCTTGACTCTTGGCCTTCAACATGTATACCCACATCCATTGGCTGAAATCATCAACAACAAGAAGGAAATATCTGTTACCCGCAAGTGTAGATGGGGTGATTGGGCCACATAGATCAGCATGCAATAACTCCTGTGGCTTCTGAGCTCTGAAGTTTGCTTGCGAGGGGAACGGCGGTCTTGCTTGCTTGGCGACGAGGCATCCTTCGCATAGTTGATTCGGGTGCAAGATCTTCGGCAACCCGGAAGCCATCCTCTTATCAGTCATCATCTTGAGGGCGAAGAAATTGACATGCCCAAGGCGCGCATGCCATAACCAAGCTGGATCGTTAATGTTCGCCATCAAACACACCGGCTTGCAAGTCTTTAACTCTATCCTGTACAATCGGTTAGTTGAACGTGTCACCCTCATCAAGAGAGCACCATTCCTATCAAACACCCTCAGGAACTCGTCAGCAATAACAACCTTACTCCCATCTTCAGTCATCTGACCAAGGCTAATAATGTTAGATTTCAAGCTTGGAATATAATATACCTCAGGTAGTAGCCTTTGATCGCCATTGTTGCACTGAAAGAGGATAGAGCCTTTCCCCTTGATCTCTACTGCGGATCCATCACCAAACTTGACGGTTCCTGTAATGTTCTCGTCGATCTCTTTAAACTTGTCTCGGTGGCCAGTCATGTGATTGCTTGCTCCGTTGTCAAGGTACCAAACATCGTTGGCAACTTGTGCCTCCCCCGCTGTGAGTAAGTTTGGCATCACCTTCTCCTCATTGAGTAGGATGACAGTTGATGATTCCTCTAAAACAGTCATCATCAAGGTTGGCTCATTGTCATATGCACGGGTGAGATGAGCTTCCTGTTCATGATTGCGGCGTTGCTTGTGACACTCCGACTGAAAATGCCCGTATACTCCGCAATTGAAGCATTTGATGTTTGATTTGTCTCGACCGCCGCTTGTGCTACTCTCCCCCTCCTGGCGAGCTGCACCTCCATGGCCGAAACCACCTCCTGGACGTCCTCCTCTGCCGCCGAAGCCGCCTCGGCCTGCCTGGCCGCCGTGCTCCCCTCCGCGGCCTGCATGGGCAGCGTGGTGCTGCTGCCCGTTGCCGCGGTGCTGCTGTCCGCCTCGGCCTCTTTCGACCTCGTCCGCTACCATCATTTGTTGTATGTGTTGAGAGGAAGCCTCCGCCGTTCTTCTTGCCCCTTGCTTGCCACTCCGCATGCGTCAACAATAGGTGATCGCCGACGTTGTTTTGAAAAACACGTGCCCTCTCCTCGTGGGCTTTGAGACGCCCGATCGCCTCCTCGAGTGTCATGCCGTCGATGTCCCCGAACTGTTCAATCATGGAGACGATAGTAAGAAATCTCTCTGGTACCGCCCGAAGTAGCTTTCTAACGACGTAGTTCTCCTCCATCTCACTGCCTAAAGCCCGGATCTTGTTGACGACTCCTGTTAATTTCATCGAAAAATCGTCGACGTTATCATTCTCCTTCATCTGGAGAAGTTCGAACTCGGACTTCAAGGTCTGCACCTTCGCGTTCCTCACACGATCCGCTCCTAGGTGCATTGTTTTCAACGTCTCCCATGCCTCTTTTGTCGTCTGCTTCTCTGCGATCACCATCAAAGTCTCTTCAGGAATCCCCTGGTAGATGGCCGCCAACACCATCTGATCCTTCCTGTGTTCCACGGACGCGCCTGCCACGGGTTCAATGGCGTCCCACACGTCTTGAGCCTTCATGTAGACTTTCATCTTGAATGCCCACAAAGCATAGTTATCCCTCGATAGCGTCGGGTATTGGAGAGTGAGAGAACCCACCTTGGTCGTCATCTTCTCCGAACTCGTCATCTCTTCAGATCTTAGTTGAATCTTAGGCATACATGGCTCTGATACCACTTGTAGGCTTCTGAACAGGATCGGCCAAAAATACAAGACCTGAAAGCTTTATAAAACCTGTAAACAATGTATGCAAACAAATAGAACCTGGCAGATTTTTTTTTCAGCAAAACGGACAGCAACAAAACAGAGGAGAAAATCTCTGTTTCGGTTGATGAACACAGGCCGGATGGAGCAGGAACTTTTCTCTGTTGATTTTTATTCACGTTCTACAACTCTTAAAAATTGTTTACATATATATAGGAATAAGATTACAACTCTAATCTTTGTCCAATAACTAGGAATCTATCCACTAACTAGTATTCTACCATAACTAGAATTCTATCTAATAACTTGGATTCAAACTAACAATCCGGACTGATTAACAAACTCACATGTTGTGGCCAAGAATAATGCACATCTACATTCATGGGTAAATATTAGAAATATTTAAAAACTTTCCTAAAAGAGGTTTTTGATTCATTGAGAGGCCTATTATCTTACAGTAAGTTGTACACTAGTAACCCAATATGCATTGGCAATTGAGCTATTTTGCTGGACATGTGCATGTTCACTTACAACTTGCATAACTTGATTTGATAGATCAGGAGCAATCACCCTCTCAATCATAGAATGATGAAATCCTAAGTTATTCCTCCAGTTCCTACTTTCCTGTGCAGTAGGTTGTTTTTCAGCCGGTGCATGTTCCTCAGCGGGTTGAGCTCCCTGACCAGATGAACTAATTAATTGTACATTCTGACCAATAGAACCAGCATTAAAACTAGCTATAGTCCCATGCTGTACTAAAGACTCCTTAACAAGCCCAGAATTAGGTGCATGTTTAACATTTCCCTATGCAACATGTTCATCCTGCCTATTGACATGAACCCACACATTTTTAGTTTTATTTTTCCTACACAGTTCAGTATCATGACCAACTATGCTACACGATGAACACCATCTTGGTTTGAATTCATATAATATTGATTTCATATAGCTTTTTCCATCAGGTCCTTAGATAGTCAAATGATCAGGTAAAGGCTCTTTCTATGGAAATTTCACTTCTAGCAAAACCCTTGCATAACTCAGCCTCTGTCTAGTAGCCGTGAGTTTATCAGTTGCAATTGGTTTCCCAATAAGGATAGCAACCTTGCTAATACCAGTTGAGCTCCATAGTTTTAGCCTTAAATTCGGAAATTGCACCCATATTGGATAATAAAAATCCCGCAACTTATCCAAATCTGTATTAATACTCTGTGGCTTTACATTAGAGGTCTAGACCCAAATAACCAAGGCCCTACCTCAAGAACATCTCTCATTTGTTTTTTAGTTTGAAAATCAAATAGAAATAACCCTTGTTTGATTAATGAGACCTTCGATATAGAGATTTTACTCCATAATTTGCTGACATAAGATTCCTTTGATTTCAATTTAACATTCAACCCTATGACATGTCCAATTAAAGCATTTCTCCATAA